GCTTCGCAGCGAGTGCTTTCATGTCCCCAGCGAGGCTGAACCCCCCCGTGTGAGTTGTATGGATTTTTTGCAAAATTTACAGATTTTTGAGGCTTTTTATCAGGTAAACGTCTGAAGAGGTTGACATGTATGGGACAACAAAATACAGACTTGTTGTTATTGAGTTTGTCAACATGAACCGCTACCTGAGAGGCACTACTAGCCCCTCCCCCTTCAGAGTGTTGGAGCAGGACGAGTCAGTGCAACATCAATCAAATGAGAGAGAGGGTGGGGGCGATTGCTGCATTGGGGGGGAGAAAATGTTTTATGGGTAGAGTAGTTTATTTTTCCTGTAATACTTCATTATAGTTTTTTAAGACAAAGCTAAATGAAAGGGGCGCTGAGCAGAGTTACAACCAGGGATTACAAATAATTACTTTTTTCTTCTGCAGTTTGGCGCTCCCTCCAGCAGATGGTGGTCTTGGCGACCACCTAGTTTGCCTATGCCAAGAGCCGGCTTTGCCGTTATGTGACTACCTCTTGAAGCTCATCATCAGAATGTAAAGAATAGTAATCAAAGTAAAAGGTGTCTACTTTGAAGAATCTAGAATATAAAACATATTTTCAGTTGTTTCACACTTTTTTTAAGTATATAATTCTACATGTGTTAATTCATAGTTTTGATGCCTTCAGTGTGAATCTACAATTTTTATAGTCATGAAAATAAAGCAAACTCTTTGAATGAGAAGGTGTGTCCAAACCTTTGGTCTGTTCTGTATTCATCATTGTATTCATAGTGGTTATATTATAGTATTTGTAAGATAAATTGCCTTTTTATTAAGGATAGTGTCAAGTTTATTTTTGGTGTCTGAACATCTCTTTCTTTCCTGTTTCTTTCAGGTGACCCTTCCCTGCAGTCCACATGTGTGTTGATACCACTCCTGTTACATAACAGATATCATCCGTAAAAATCGATTGCAAAGGAAGTGACATTGGATTCATGGAGTCACTTGAAACTACTGCAGGGGTGAAAAGCTCCACCGAGGGTCAGGAAAGAAATGTTGCACAGAAAAAAGACCCATCGGAGCCTGCACAGACTAATAGGAGACCGTCGGTCAAATCGGAGAGCAAAGCAGGGCACCGACAGCCTGAGGAAACCCAGAGCAAAGACACATGTTTCAGTGAGATATCAGACTCAGGGAAATCTCTGCAATTAGAAGGTAAACTGTCCCAAACCCAGTCCACAAGCCATCAAGACTATGAGGTGTCTTCATATCAGCTGCAGTCTGCAAAACCCTCCTCTAACATCAAACAAAAAGTTTCAGCACAGTCACCAGGACCTGCATCCCAAAGGAAGTGTCCAACTTCACCTGAGCAACAGCGCTCACATCCAGGGACAGATCAGGTGACAGAGGTGACGTCCAAGGTGGATCTAAAACCACAGAAACCAGGGAAGTATGTTTGTGATTACTGTGGAAGGGCATGTGCCAAACCCAGTGTTCTGAAGAAACATATTAGGTCACACACCGGGGAACGACCCTATCCATGTGTCCCGTGTGGGTTTTCCTTCAAAACCAAGAGTAACCTCTACAAACACAGGAAGTCCCACGCTCACTCAGTCAAAGCTGGATCAGTGCCATGCTCAGAACTTGGGTCCTACAACGCCAATATGGAGCAGGGATCCTTTGAAGTGGAAGGAGAGTTATTTTCTGATGCCGAGCAAAGCACGGACACGGACGAGGACACGCTTAGTGACCCACTGCTGCTGCTGGACTCTCCAATGGAGGGATCAGATAACACTGCTGTAAAAGTACTAAATCTCATCGCGCAGAAAAAAGGAGGCACATCATTGTCAGCTCAGGATGGTTCATCCCATCCTCAAGAAATCAATGCATCTCCTGTCACGGCTGAGGCGAGCCGTTCAAATCAATCTTCCACCATCAAGCAGAAGCTTGCACTTCGACTGTCTGAAAAAAGAAGCAGCGACTCCGAGCATAATCTCTCTCTCCCGAGTCAATCCAGCAAGGGCAGCACCGACTCTGGCTACTTCTCCCGCTCTGAGAGCTCTGAGCACCAGACTGGACCTCCAAACACCAACGCAAAGTCCTACCAAGAGATCATGTTTGGAAAATGCTATCGTCCGAGTCCTAAACAAACCTCAGCCTATCTGGCTTGTTGCACGGAGTCAGACGAGTATGCTGGGAAGTGCTCAGAAAAAGGCGTGTCCCGCGTTTTCACTCAAGAAAAAGACACAGTTGAGTCAATCAAAATAAACACAAAATCCTTCACACGAGAGGAGGTTAAAGAGTTGCTGTTGGACGCCGGCTCTGACATGGGGCCTCTGATCAGAAGCAACTCAATGCCAACGACCTCAGCGGTGTGTCTGAGTACGCCACAGGCCCTGAGAGGCAGCCACTCGTTTGATGAAAGGACAAGCACAGGCGGCTCGAGGAGACTCAAACGGCAGGGTGCAATCGAACTATCTGTGCATGACGGTCACACAGACACAGAGAGCCATGGTAAGATCTCTCCTTTGGGACTGGAAGTGGAAAACCACTCCTCAATGGCACCTGGTATGAGCCAACAGAAACATGCCATGGAACTGGCAACCCGGAAACGTCGCAAAGAGAAGAGAGAAGACGAGGATCTGACTGGCCAGTATGGGGGCCACCATGAGCTGTGTGATGACATGTTTGATTCAAGCAAGGACTATGATTTAAAACAAGCTGCAATGGGCATTATGGCTCTAGGGAGAGGACATTTGGACAGGTGTGATATGGACATATCAATKAGCACTGAAACATCTGGACGAAAAACTTTAGGGAATGTAATTTCAGTTATTCAGCACACAAATTCAATCAACAGGCCTCACTCTGAACAGTCGGAACTGTACAAATGTCATGGACAGAGACTGGAAACTCTGTCTTCGTTTCAGGCAGTGGAGGCCAGTGAGTCTTTTGAAATGGAATGTGACGGCAAATTAAGGCAATCTGCTCAGCTGGGGCCTAAACTCGTGCGACAGTCGAACATACAAGTCCCAGAAATTAGGGTTACAGTCGAGCCGGACAGTCCAGAAAAAGCTCCAGAAGTTCAAGCAAAGGAGCTGGAAAAGCACACCGAAGAGTTTCAGTGGCCACAAAGGAGTGAAACTTTAGCACAATTCCCTCCAGAAAAGCTCCCTCCAAAGAAAAAACGGCTTCGCTTGGTTGACATTGAGCACTCCTCTGGTGAATCGAGCTTCGAGTCGGCCTGTACGAGTCTGTCCCGCAGCCCGAGTCAGGACAGCAACTTATCTTACAGCTCCACGTTTTCATTCGACAGAGAGGAGAGCCTAAAGTCTGCCTCTCCGGTCAGGCAGGATGAGTTTGGGAAACCGCTGGAGCTTTTAGCCGTGCCAGTGAGTGGGCACTCCCTGTCTGTGCTCCACCAACGGCAGCAGCATGAAATGAGACGCTCCTCCTCAGAGCAGGCGCCGTGTAACTTACGCAAAGAGTTCCCAGAGGTACGCAGCGTATCGTTTGACTATGGCAGCCTTTCTCCAACGTCCAAAGTTAGACACGTAGATGTTAGCTGTGTGAAGGAGAGGAGGAGGGCGAATTTGGTGCGACAGGAGTCACTGAATATGGACACTGAAGTCCCATCACAAGTGTTTCCACCGTACCTCAGCTCCCCTCTGTTTGCAGCACCCACTGTTCTGCCACAGACTTTGCCAATGTTTTCCACTGGGAATACGTTCCCACAGCTACCATATCCAAGCCTAGTTATTCCTGTTCGAATTCAAACTAATGTGCCATCCTTTGGCAGCATCACGTACACCTCTGTATCACAGATTTTTGACAATCACTACAATAGCTCCGCTATACCTTCCCTAAAAAATCAAACTTCACGCCTGTCCAGAAACCTCGATTCTCACAACGTGTCAGCTCACGCCAAACCACCCACAACTCACACGCTAAACGTGGAAGCTCTGGATTTGTCCTCAGCAAAGCTAAAGACGGGCATTCCTCTGTCTCTGACCTCCAGGACCATATCAACCACCAACGCCTCCAGCGGGGGCACGAACAAGCGCATGCTGTCTCCAGCCAGCAGCTTGGATCGCTTCATGGAGGTCAAGCAGCAGAAGAGGGTAAAGGAGGAGAGGATTTTTGGGCAAATAGTGGAGGAGCTGAGCGCGGTGGAGTTGGGGAAATGCCACCTGAGCGAGGAGATGCAGGGCGACCTGCGCAGGATCCCGGCCGTGGATCGATGCGATGAAACAGCCATGGAAAGCAGCTCTGTGATGTCAGCCACCGAAACAAAAGAACCGCTGCAGATGGACGTGCTGGTGCAGCTGGTCACACGCCGGGACACCCTGATGTCGGACCCGGAGCATTCGCATGTCCTCTCTCAGTTTCCCAGTCTTCGCACGACAACAGGTGTGAGCTGGTGTTACCTGAACTACACCAAGCCCAGCTGCTCCCACAGCGGCGCTCCCTTCGCCTCGGTGTATGCTGCCTGGTGCGTCACGGCCCACAACCCCAATCCTCTGGAGCTGAGCACCGGCGCCGCGCTGGCTCTGCTGCAGTCCAGACAGAGGGGAGATAAGGTTATTTACACCGTGGCCGCCATGTGTCAGCCTGGCACAGGGAAGCTGGTGTCATCCCTCATCCTCTGGAGACAGACCGTGGAGCAGGTGAGAAAATCATCCCATCTGTTGGAGCGCAGCAAAACAGGAGGAATGTTGGTTATTTACTGTTTTTCATAACATATTTATTACCTGCTGTCGAAAGGTGAAGGCAGACAAATATGGTTTTGACATTGTCTGTGTGTGTATGTTTCTGTCTGTTAACAAAATATCTCATGAACCACTGTATGAATTTTAGTGAAATTTGCTGACAATATTTATTTTATGTACATCCACAACTGTTTAACTTTTGGAATCCACCAGATTCAAGATGGCAACCTCAGCCAGACAACCTTAGAAAACAAAATTATAGTTGTATCGCAGTCATTTATACGTGTTGATTTAAAATTTGATTCTTTAGTTGCTGAGATTAATTACAAATTAAAATAAACAAAATGAAAAATATATTCAAGCAATAGTGATTTACAAAAGACTAAACAAAAACATCAACTCTAACAACACGTATGGATTCACATTATGATATTACATATTTCTTCATGAAACTAACTTTTATCATTCTCTTAAACATGTACATTGATCTGACATTTTAAACATCATCCTCCAATCCAGACCATTCCACAATCCTATTCCCTGGATTAAAGTAGACCCCTCCTTAATTCAAACTGGTACAAAATCGAGGCTTCACAAACATCTCTATCCCCTTAACAGCTCTCTTTCTTAAACATTACTTGGATGTTAGAAGGTAATATGTTTTTTGAACCTTATAAACATTTAAATACTATAGTTAACCAAATCATAGAATATCAATATTTTCAATTGATAAATAATGTATTTGATGGACGGTTGTAATCCTTTCTAGTGATAATTCTTATGGCTCTTTTCTGTAAAACAAAACAGGATTTGTAATTGTTTTGCTTGCTTTACCTCAGATTTCAATACAATATATAACGTACACAAAAAATCAAATATGGAATAATTATTGTAATATACAACATTTACAGAGCTTTATCATTGAATATCTCCTTTACTTTGTACAGTACTGCAATAGATTGAGCTATTTTTTCTTATGTAATTTATATT